ATCAATGCCGAGGTTAATAGAAAGTCGTACTTGGGGGTTACTACACAGTTAGTCGTACTCGCAACAACACGTTGAGTAGTTTTTAAACAAAATGGCGTTTATTCCTGTTAGATATTCTTTAATACTGTGGATATATCTCCGAATTATAGAGCTACTATTGCATAAAGTTCGTTCAGGCTCTGAGGAAGGCGAAGTCGCCGAAACGTCAGCCAACGAACCACAGTAATAACAACAACAACGACAACTGATACCAACCTCGCGTCAGCCTAACAAAGCCTGTTCGACTGAATAACTGTACTTTTTATTGCTCTAGAAGGTTATGAATACCATATAGCACATGATCGATAGGTGCCTAAGGAGGGTATATTTTATTAAATACAAACAGCTAGCAAAGACTTATCGCCAGGCAATCAGTAATCACCATGGTTCTACTCAGATCCAAGTGAAACAATAAGAAGGATTTTGTAATAAATTAGATGAAAATAGTATTCGGAACAACACATAAACGATACAGTGAGGACTTAACGTTATGAAAAGATACAGAACAATCTACGAGGTGCAAAATAGTCTCGATACCAAATCTGAAACAACGTCGGGATACCTCCGCACAAAAATATCACTTGAAACTAAAACTCCTTGCTAAAGAACGTTTTAACCAATTTAGAAACTATAGAAAAATCGAATTTAAGCCACCCTAACAACGCTGAATTTTGGAATTCGCTTGAATCCAATCAACAACACGGCAAGAAAACATGAAAATGAACAAATCGGATTCAACTTCACCAACGATAAAGCAATTATGAAGAAGACCGTGGAACGTAAGAGACATAAGTTAAGGGATTATTCGCCTTCAAGGTATAGTTAGCAAAAAACCTTCACTCAAACTTTAATGTCATCCTGTACCGTTAGTAATGGATCACCCGGGAATCTATCACAGTTGTACGAAAGAGGATACTAGGAACGAATGAAAGTTAATTCAAAACAGGTATACCCGGATGGTGTAGTGGTGAAGTGCGCTGCTCCCCGGTAAGGACAACAGCGCGTGTTCGTTCTCCATTGCATACACCTGTGGTCCGGAGTTTTGCAAATATCTCACCATTTCATACGAGTTATATTTCGCAACATAACCTGCCATTAAGAAGAAAAAGGCAGTAAATAAAAGAGTTAAAACAGGTATAATTTTTAGCACCCTTTCGCTGTGCTCTTTGGTATCCCATTAACCGATCTATTTCCCAATTCTGGCGTTTTCAAGTTTTATGACTTTCCTAAAGATGCCGAATTTTCGAGAACATCATATCCATTAAGTTCATACGTATAAAAAAAATAAACAGCTATGCAAAAGAAAAACAACGGCTTGTTTCAAAAAAAAAAGTAACGATGGCGAGCATTTCTGCCTCGTTGATGGACCGTTCCCTTCTAGAATTTCCATTTCTAATGTGCTAATCGACTGAAAAGGGCGCGTGTGGCGCAGTGGCCGCAGGCGCACTACAACACACAAGTGTAATCGATACCCGCGCCCATGGCCCACCAAACCTTCCATCTCTGATCGGTAAATTGGTACCAGACTTGTCTTGGAGGATAGCAGCACTGGCTCGATACAACGTTAGGCCACCGCGAGTCATTGTAAAAGCCAAATATGCATTAAATCTCCTCCGAACGATGCTTAATGAAGTCGAATGAATGGCGCATCCCTCAGAAATTCATCAACGCCAAGAGTTTTATTCCTTTATTTTTAATCCAGTGAATGCATGTTAGAGTTATTCAAAATTACTGTAACTCAAGAAAAAAACTGAGAAAGAACCTTTAAGCCTGATATTTCTCTCCCAAGACACGTTGTTCCCATCTCTAGCAGACTTCGGGTAGTTAAACGCGTTCTGACACTGCAATAGAAGGAAAATTCCGAAATGAAAACACCCGACATTCCCTTTAGCCGGCAGCTTTCCACCGAGAGAGTGCTGGCATGTGGGTGTTGTGTTAGCTGTGCCAGCCGTCACCCCGTTGATCGTCGAGTGACTTAAGGAGCCAGTGAAATGTATATTTGCCTTTGTCATGTGCAAAAGTAGCCTAGTGAGCTCCGCATGTTCTGGGCACACGCTGAGCATCAATTCTCTCTTCTAAGGTTTTAAAGAAGACCTCTGACTATCAGACCTTTGGTTATTCTAGTGTGCATTTGTCACACCTAAGAATCCATGCTAACAGCATCGTAACTGGCTGATAAGAAACAGTTAGTCAAATAAAGGTAAAGCTCTCGTCGTTGATCGATCCCTGAGGGATAGGGAAGCTATTCGACTTCAATAAGCATCGTTGGAGGACATTAAATGCATATCTGACCGTTAGAATGACCCGATGTGGCCTACCGATGTATCAAGCCAGTGCTATTATCCTCCCAGACAGGTCTGGCACCACATTGTCGACCCCGGAATGATGGAAGGCTTGGTGAATTTGAGACGTGGGATCGATTCTATGCGTACTGCACGGCGACTCCAACCACTGCGCTACACGTGTCCTGATAAAGAATAAAAGCAGTAATAACCTGAATTGAAAATTGTAATGATAATAGATAAACCTTAACATCTCATGTGCTTATGGAATGGGCATCAGTGTAACACGTAAAACAAAAACTTCAGAAATTTCCATTGGTACGTCTGGATCGATAATATTGTGAAAACTTTCAAAAGTTATTATTCATCTATATATAGGTATTTATATGGTCATCACAAGAGACAAAGAGAGAAAAAACAACCTAGAACTCCTGAAAAAAAAGCATTTACAAATGTTAACATTCGAGAACATTTTGAGTCCTAAAATAGCGCACGGCTGCGCTATATTAGATTTCCACGCGGGACCCATAACTGGCTCCTTTCTCCCGTATCCTTCAAATAATATATACCATGAAGAGATAATCCATGTGTCAAGCATTAGTGCTAAACATTTTTCGACAATTTGGGTTCTTTGGGATTTCTGACAACCTATAGCTAATATAAAAGGCCCTCTATTCCATGGACATAATGGTGTGTGCAAATTTCTAAAGCTCATATTCACTAGAATTTTCCTCAAACTAATTGGTAACATATGAATGAAACATTATTTAGACAGTCGAGGCAATTAATTGGGGGACAAACTTATATTCTGGTTATATTATAACTTATTTTATAACTAAATTCCAATTGTGGAATCACTCCATTACCCGAGAAATGAGACCGGGCAAGGAGTGGCATAAAGAACTTGGCATACACAAGGTTGAGTTTCTATCGTGATGAAATAGAAGGACCAGTGCACCATTGGACGAGCTATAAGCAACCGCGAACTAACGTCCGAACTTGCAAAACAATGCAGACAGGCGATAAAGGAGATTTTGGAGAGAAAAGAGCAGCAGTTATGGTCGAAGCTGCAGAGGCTGGGAAAAGCATTCGCAAAGCCCACAGAAGCTTTGCCAATTGCAAGACCAAGACGATTGCTCTCCGACGCCCAGACGGAACAGTAGCAGCGTCCAGAAAGGCAATAGAGAAAATCATTCACGAATACTACTCGGATCTCTTCAATAGCCACGTCCTCCTGCCTTAATATGAGATAAAGTAGGATGTATATATCGTCCCATCCCTTCTCTCTTCTAAAATCCAATATGCTACTTTGTTGGCGAAGAATCGAACACCACCTGGTCCGCAGAGGATCCACCTGACGCTGAAGAACCTTCCGCTAGTCCTCATCAACAGATTAGCTCGGCTCCCTGCCAGAATGCAAGGTTTATATTTAATGGAAGATTAGAAAGACCGTATTATTGCTCAAGAAGGGTGATCACCACGAGAGCATCGAATATCGTCCGATCTGCTTACCGTCTACCAACTGCAAGCTCTTCACTTGAGTCGTGCTCAAGAAGGCTGACAGAACATTGGAAGGAAGTCGTGTAAGCAAGCAGGGTATCGAAAACGTTTCAGTACGATGGACCACATCAACATGATAATAACGCTCATTGAAGCATCGCAAGAGTAGGAGAGATCACTTTGTCTCACTTTCATAGATTTGTAAAAAGCTTTTGATTCAGTTGGGATAGAAGCAATCATAGAAGGCCTGGAGCGCCAGCGCATCCCTACTCAGTTTACGAAAATTCTTCGTGAGTTATATAAAAATTTTACAACCAGTATCACCATTCCATATCGATATTACTATCGACGTAAAAAGAGGGGTTAAGCAAGGCGATACCAGCCTATCAAAATTATTTAACGTCACCATCGAGAACGTCATGTCAACATAGGAGTGAATGTCCATGGTTGGCAATTACACCATCATCATTTTGCCGATAACCTCGTTCTTATAACATCAAGCAATAGTCAAGCGGAACGAGTGATAGCCAACGTAGATAACGCTCTCGAAAAGATTGGCACTCGACTAAGTCTAAAAAAGGACTTGATGAGTGAATAATGGATTTCGTATGCCCCATGATCAAAAGGATGAATATCTCCAAATGTTCCAGCATCTGAGCTCGTTCCAGTCTATCACAGGCGTAACTGTTTGTGAAAAGAAGAAGACGGTGCACTAAAAAAAACACGCTTTGGCACAGAATAATTATTTTCGAAAAAATTCTGAACGGAAGAACCTACGACGAACGAGCGGCGTGTAACAAAAGTTCTGTCAAGTAGGGCATATGTATTTTCGCCTTTTCTTGCAGCATGTTCCTCGTGCTTATCGATAAGCATTTCTCTACTCTTCCACATATAGAATAAAGTTTACCACTTATCAATTGAACTAGCTGAGAGACAGGCAAAACGAAGGACCCGGACGGTGTGGTGGTGAAGTGCGCTACTCCCCGGAAGGGAAAATAGCGCGCGTTCGTTCCTCACTGCATACACCTGCGGTCCGGAGTTTTGCAAATATCTCAGCATTATACACGGCTTACCACTTAGTTAAAATTGTGTTCACATCAAAGCTCAAGTATCATGGAAATGACTCCTATCATAACAATCCACATAAGCTCTCTATTCCGGAAGGACCGTCATTTCGTTATGTCATCGTCACGAAGCAGTGGTGCAGATTTGGAATGCTGCTTACATGGACGTGGGTGTCGCGCTGGAACTAAGCAAGTCAACGTGGAAGAAGAAAAGCAGAATGGTCAGCAGAACTTATCTGTCACACGTTTTTTGAACTCCGTAGTAACTGTAAGATTTCTATGACTGTAATAATCCCGACATACGCCATCAGAAATTGGAATTCCCGTGCAAACTTGCACTCCGGAATTAGTTTATTGGCAGACCTTTCTGAAAGCACTTTCTGAGAGCAACATCTGAATAGATGCGAGTGAGTGGCAACGACGAAATTAGCCTTCGAGCAAGTGGACCCACAAGTTGTTTCGTCAATTTGATGGCCTTCCGAAAACGGTGGCACACAATCAAAATGACCATGTGGTATCTTTTTCGCACAATAAGTGAATGCTACAGAATTTCCTAAATATATTACCCATTGGGGTCGGCATGACTCATGTATTTGAATCATTTTCTTCTCGGCTGCTTATTTTGCCGAACAGTTCTTTACCCGTTTTACCTTTTATTTTCTGCCTACTACAATTTTCACGGCAGGGCACTAAGCGAAATACAACCACAACGTTGGTGAGATATTTGCAAAACTCTGGACCCCAGGTGTCCATGGTGGGGAACGAACGCGCTATTGTCCTTTCCGGGGAGTAACACGTTCACCACCACACCATGCGGGTCCTTCGTTTCGCCTGTCTCTCGGCTATTTCTAGTTTTTTTACCTGATTTATCCAGGCAATAGCTCATTCAGTGGAGATATAGTGGCTCTCCTAGACTAGGTAAAGCAACACTCTACACAAAATAATGTGCGAAACACCTTTCCCTAATAATTTATTCACTTTTATTGGCTCCAATTTGTTCCGATTGGAGATAGCGATGGGTACGAGCATATCGGTTGTATATCGTACGCAGAGTGTCCCACTCGTAACGGTACGGTTCTCAGGAAGGCGCAACGCCAACAACAACGACGACGAAAACCTATACTAACCTCGCGTTAGCTCAACAAGATCGAACTTGGAGACCCTCTGATCGCCACGATAAGCTAGAAAATCACTGGAGAACTCGAATAGATATTTTCATAATGAGTAGGACTTTTCGCGTACGTAGTGTACATTTAATAAAGTGCAGAGTGCGTCTTTGGAAAAAGCACATAATCCTTTACTCTCACAATCTTTCAATAAAACTGGAAGACCTTTGCTCAGAAACTTCTATACTACGGCTGGAACTCTTAGATTTAACATCTACATAGACTACTTGTTAAACAAATCTGGACAAAAATACTTCCTGCGCTAGACGCATCTAGCTCTGACCTGCTTGGCATGTCCCTCAGGTTTGGCGTAGTAAGACATATAACCTCTTATAACGACCAAAAAGTAAAGCCTCCTTTTCTATCCATTTTGTCAACCATCTTCGGTGGCATGGTTACTTAAGGTTGAGGACAAAGGTATTTTGTCCATTCGAGTCAAAATCGAATAAGGGTTGGTTCATGAACTCACATTGCCATGGTAGTTTCGACGCAACACTTTCCTGTTACGTGAGAAGAGTATCGGTAGAATGCCATTCTTCCTCTGAAAAGCACAAAAGGCTCATTGACATATTGATATGGCCTTGTACAAGGTGTCCACTTTGTCGCATTTGCATTATCTGACGGTCGTACGCTCAGTGCGGTTGTTGGATAGGAAAACCTCAGCATTTTCTTCCATAAAACCTATAAAATAAGATCTTACAAAAATTCCTCATATATATAGGGGAATTTTATCTAAAAATTGAATCCCTCTTTGTAAGAAAACACCTATGTGCCTCAGAGAGTAGACACGGCAGCCAGTCAGTGTTTTCTTCTTGAGGAGACACGAGTTATTGAGAAGAAATTTATTCATTCACAATAGCTGACGTTTCGGGTGTTTCGCCTTTTTGAGGTCATGGGGAACTCAAATTGATAGGCAGGCTACTCAGTCAAACACTTTCTAAATCCTAGCAGAAAAATCCCAGTACATGAATATTTGTTGGCATAATAAACAGCTTCTTTTAAGCTATTCTACCCACTATTCTGTTCTTTGCAAGTTTTCCAGTTATTTGGTGGAGACCAGCCGAGCAGAGTATTACATGGGCGAGAGGAATGTGCTTGATTTGGTTCAAAAAGCCAGCCTGAGGTACAGTGCGATGTCAAGCGTGATCACCAGGCACTACCCCTACAGTTCACTTCTAGATTTTTGGAGTTTATTCAAAACGTTTCAAGAATTTCACGCGCCGATGTTTAGTTTCTTATTCAGCGATAATTACGAAGTCTGAGATAAAATATAAAAGTTGGAAAATTTTCAGAAGGTGAAGATGAAGAGGAATATGCGAAATCGGAGGGAAAAAAGTCATCACGAAAAGATCAAGCTTTGGAAAGGCTCGCTAGACAGTTGCGGTGAGCTGATTGCACACGACGGATTCTAATCCGAGAGAAAACAATCCTTTGAGATACTCTTCTCCATGGAATATTTTCTACCATCTGAAAAGCTTGTAAATCTCTGCAACGTGTGGTGTTGTTGTAGATACGTGGAAGAATTCAAGGAACGACGAGAAAAAAGGCGCGAAGAACGAGCGCGGAGACGGGAGGAAAGGCGGATGAGCAAGGTGAGGGCTAGCTTGGGTCGCATCATCCTAGTAGTGTAGTATTCAAGAGGGTTTTAAACACAATGTTCATCACATTAATCTACTGATGAAGATGCACTGCAATATGTAGTGGAGTTAGTCGCTCTGTTCCTTTTCCTTAATATTTCATGTGTCACTGAAAACTCTGCGTGTTGTCTGAATATGTCAGCCGCCTAAATCCATGTTCCATATGAGTCAGTACAGGTCTCGAAACTGTAGGTAGTAAGCGATCAGTGGAAATGTTATTGATTTCACATTAAAAAATATGATTTTTTTAGCAGAAACATGATTTAATATTACCATTGGTAAAGTTGGCTTACTTTGTTGAAGACTTCGTTTCTGAAGATCGTGGGGCTAACATTAGTTTTAGCTTCAAACGTCCTCTACTAAAAGAAAGTAAAGCCGTGAACTCTTTGAAAAATGTCAATTGAAGCGTATAGCTTAAAATCTGTGTATAAAGGTCTAGTTAGAAGTAATTATTTCTAAGGACCTTTCGGTCAGAATTCCGCGTCTAAAATATGATCGTATAGAAGGCAAACAACTTATGAACATGTATAGAAAGTGTTTCACAATTAAAACGTGACCTAATGAGACCTTACTTGAGGAGAAAACATATGTCCAAACCTAATTGAATAATTTGTTCAGAAGTCTCCCGAAAAGGCAGGAGCTAGTAAAATTGACAACAGCACTTCGTCGAAACAATCCGAGAGGTTTTTGTTAATCTCTAAGAAATCTTTTTTTTTGTGGTTGAGCCACAGTTTAACAAAAATGGTGCTATGTCACTTCCGATGTTAAAGTCTACTTAAATTATGACCGGTAGCCTATTACGTCGCTAATAACTGAGTGAGTGGAGTGAGCAGCACTAAGGCTTCCGCTTATCTTTGCCACCGCTGGAGCTCCTCATTAGACTTGGCTGTGTTGAAACACGATAGAACGTTACACTTGGTGAGAAGAGATCTCCCTGTAACTTAGCAGCTTCTCCCTAGGTAGATATGGCTTTATATCTTGAGAACGTTCTTAAACCAGCCTGCCCCGTGCGTAGAAGTCGAATGGCAGGATTTCAGTTGAGTCAAACTGCAGGACATTATTCACACATGCGTATGCCTACCACCTTATGCATAAAAGCGATTACATATATAAAGCATATGAGCCTATCCGACCCATCAGAAAGTGGAAAGTCTAATTCACCTTCGTCCCAGGAAAGGCACATGAACGTCTTGGGTCTTCTTCTATATTGACATAGAATTCGACAAAACCCCACATTGGGACGAAGTGTATTGCCTCACAACAAACTGGTTCAAGACTCTGTCCACCCAAAGGAATCTTAGTGATCCTGTAGTCAAGGCTCTGATTCTTGCACAACTTCCACAGAAAATCCTCCATACTTTCATTCCTGAATCGGTGGATGGATACTTTCTTCAGTTACACGAGGATTCACACAACATATTTTGTTTCGAACCCTGACCCGACGAGGTCAAACCTACATTCCTCTTGGTTTTTATAGTCGTAGCGAAAGATTTAATTTCTGCTTATTTTGCATGACCCATCTTCGCATTCATTGTGTGGATCCCAGCACTCCTTGCATTCGATTCAATTCCTCGCACCCATCATCCACGAACGTCTTCGAACTTCTACGCGTGGATTCCATTGCTGCTCCAGGATTTCCAGCTTCATTAGGAATGTCACTGAGTGCACGTTGAGTTGATATTTCCGGAAGTACTAGGATGGTAGTGTTAACGAGTTTCCATGTGGATTGGAGGAAATGAGCCAATCCCAAGTCTTATATCAAATCCCTGATCATGGTTGGATGGGAGGCTTGGTTAACCCAGGGCAGAGTCAGACTAGTACCGTGATCATGATAAACGGCACTACTACCATTACGTACCGCCACCCCTCTGTCCGTCGAAAATGGTGGTTGTAATTTTAATACTCTCTTCTTTTGGCGCCTTGTCTCGTCAAAATAAAGTTCCAACAACGTCTACGTTGTCAAGCTTTCTTACAGGAGTAAGCTTTCACGTGACTACAGGAACTCGCTTGAGGCATGGAAAGCATGGCAAGCTTTCTGGAATACACATTTTATATTTCTGGGAGCGACTTACAACTCCTTTTTACGTGGTTGCTTTTCACTAGGATAAAAGGATAAAGCTTTCAGTGTACATCAATCCGTGACAGATGCGCCATGAATTCGACTTTATTGAGCATCGTTAGACGTGACTGAATGCACATCTGGCTTTTGCAATGGTTCTCGGTGTCCAACTGATGTATCGAGCCAGTCCTGCTTTCCTCCCAGACAAGTGCGGTACCAATTTTCCGACTCCGGAAGGATGGAAGGCTTGATGAGCCCTAGGCTTGAGGATCAATGTCACGTCTATTACAAGGTACCTGTAAACCACTGCGCTCGTTCACTAGAGTGCTTCTAGCTTGATGCGATCTGAGAAGTATGACCGAAGAAAGATGGCAGTCTACGTTAGAAAAGATAACGCCATGTCTGTTAGTAGTGGAATCCGAACAATAAATGAAAACACACGAGCCAACCAGTGATTGATTAAACTCAAAAAAGCATTTGATTTAGTAGAGACGCCTACTGCGAGAACGACGGAACGGTCGACATGAGACTGACGCCCAAAAAAGAGAAGTCTACAGGGCGGAGCGCAGAAGAAATAGAATGCGAAAAAACAGAGGTAATGAGTAGAGTTTCGTGCATTATGTAGTTTTAAAAAACCTTAAAAACGAACATCAGCGAATTTGGAAAACCCTCCAAAAAATGGAAGACGAATGAAATTAGGACGCCTGATTCATTACAGGAGTCACCAAAAGCAAACAGCGCTGGAGATGCAGTCGACAACGCTGCTAAGTAAGCGTTTAGTTCACGCTCCATACATCGCTCTAATATGTCCTACCAAATATACTATAATTTAGCAGCTTACCCATCATAGTTGAATTTCACGACGATTCTTGAAACAAAAGTACCAGTTGTGAAAATTCACCTTTCTACTGACCAATAATCTGTGCTCTCGATGTGCGGACCTGAGGTTATTAATACAATGGTCGAAATTACAAAAACCTTTACTTTCTTCAGAGCCTGGAGAGGTTCGTATTGACATACAACCTACTCGACCAAATGTTTCCACAATCCAATTACAAATACACTTAATCCAAATTCTGATAACATGATAAATCGTACTACGAACACCTACTGGCTTATACTCGACTACTGTTTAAGAAATGAGACGATTCATACCGACTTCACACAGGATGAGGAATTTGGCCAACCCCACTCCTATTGTTGGGAACAGATCACGCATGGCGGGACGGTTGTCAATTCATTTTAGAGAGAATCTCGTCCTCATCCGGAACTTAGCATAGGTTAATGAAAATGGTAGAGGTTCCGAACTAAACCTTTAAACTGTTATAAGTATAGTCAAATCCAATAGTATTAGTCAAAAATAGAGCTCTAGAATGTACTCATCTTTGCCAACGAAATGCTTGTTTATCTGTTTGAGAAAAATGATTTCTGAAGCTCTTGATGAGACATAATTTCCAAAAGCATTTCCACTTAGAAATTTTCGAAGTGATAAAGTTTTCTAGAGCAGCGGCTTGGCTGTTGAATACTTCCTTCCAGAAGTTACTAGGGTATTTGAATTGAATAATAGCTCACCTGTATCACCTATGGTACTATTGATCGTCGACTGACTACTCGAGCGGGCGCCAGTAAATCTTCCATTTCTTCCGGTCGGATGCAAGAGTAAACATAGTGGGTTCTGCTCGCTCTAGCGATTCGTTGAGCATTATGCCACGCTTTTAAGCTTTTCGTGAAAAACTCTAACCATTGGGTCAATGATCCTCCTGCAGTGCCTGTGTTATACCGAGGAATCCAGTCACTAACGGTTCTTGTCCATCAGTTGTCGTTCGTACGTACTACGTGCTATCTTCGACAGCTTGACAGAGTTTCGGAACCCTTTCTTCACTTGTGTGACACGTGATACTCCTAGCATCGTGTTTTCGACCACGCTTTCAGTAACCCTGAGTAGCCTTTCATCCTGCTTACCAGCAACTAGGTTTCTGGCGCATACGTTAAGGCAGGAACTATCGTGAAGTCGAAAAGGTGGGCACGGAGTCGAGTGTTCTTTGTTTTCTTCACTACATCCTCGGTACTCTTGGAAGCTCCCCAAGCTGTTCGTTTCCACCTGCTCAATTATGGAGATAAGTGTTGTTGATCATGTTGATTTCCCGATACAGATAGACGTAAGTGGAGTATTCGGAGACATTCATTCCGTTGAATGCAAATGGGGCATATGTAACCAATCTGTTCTTCACGAATGTCGTTTTTGTGAGATTTAATCGAAGACCAATTTTTTCACAGGCTTTATCAAAGTCGGCAAGCACTCATTCCACTTGGTTAATGTTTGGTGTTATATGGATGATGTCATCAGCAAAGCCAAGATGGTGTAATCGCCGACCAACGATTTCCACTCCCATATTCTCCCATTCTAATGTTCGCATGAAATTCTTGGGTGTGGCGGTAAAGGCATTGCTTTGGTTAACCAAATATTGCAAATATCTCAGCAACGTTGTGGTTGTATTTCGCTTAGGACCCTGCCGCAAAATTATAATAGGCAGAAAATAAAAAGTATAACATTGTGAATCAAAAGCTTTCTTTAAATCGATGAAAGTGTACTAGTGCACTCTCTTGTACCCTCGCAACACTTCATTGACTGTAATAGCCTGTATGTGATCCACTGTAATGAATTCTTCGCTAAATCTTGCTTAATCACGTGGCTATCCTTCGTCCAGTGTTCTATCAGTCTTGTTTAGGATGGCTCCAGTTAAAAGTTTGTGGTCGACAGACAGTAAACAGACTGGACGATAATTGACGATATCGCGGAGGTTACCTTTTTTGAGCAATCAACGGTACGGTCCCGCTGTTTTTCCACTGAGTAGGAACCATGTATTCAGACAGGTGGCATGTAAAGAGCCATGCCGGTATGTTTAGCTGGTGGGACGTTCTTCAGATGTTCAGTTTTTATCCTCTCTAGACCAGTTACTAGATCCTTCACCGACGAAATAGCATGTTGGATTTCGGAAGGGAGAACTAATGGAACCACAAATCCATCCTCCTTCATTCCACATGATGGTGTTTATTGAAGGGAACTGAGTAGCAGTCGTAAATGATTTTCTCCATTGCCTTTCTGGAAGCTCTAAGTGTTCGTTCTGAGTCAGAGTGCAACAATCTTGGTTTTGTAGTAGGCGAAGCCTCAGTAAGCTTTGCGAATGCTTTTCCCAGCCTCTGCAGCTTCGACCTTTACTGTCACTTTTCTCTCACTAAGAAGCTGCTTTATCGCCTGCCCACATTCTTCTACAATTTCGGACGCTAGTTCGCGGTTGCTTGCAGCTCGTACGATTCCACGCTGGCGTATCAGCTCGAGTTTTT